TCGAAATTATATCGATATGGACGTTAAAGCACCAACAGTAACATTATACACCTTACTTTTCCTGCGCAGGAACCCGCCATATCGCTCCCCGTGGGCCCGCATCAGCACCTACACTGGCAAACGTATCAAGAAATGTGGCCAGGTCACTCGGCAGGAGATGGTCTGCTACCCCCGCGACCTCCACAGCCAATCGGGCAGCTGTGGTGGAGTGTGCCAGGCTGACCAGTTTGCCCCGGCTATCATCCCCGGCGACCAGGTGTTTGTCAAACTGGGCGTGTCCCCACCCCCTGGGGCGGCGGTCACCCTGCACGCACTCCCTCCGCAGTTCTTATTGGCCGTGGCTTACATGGAGACTCTGGTCACTGAGACGTTCGGCTGTGGTCTGCTGGCATGTGGGGCTCATCAGGCCGAGAGGATGGACAGACACAGGTGGGGATTGTGGGATTTTGTGGGTTGTATTCCGTCAGTATATTGACCTGCTATTGAAATTTGAACACAAATTTATCCACTTATACATAGTGATCTCGAAAGGATAACCAGGAAACAAGACTTACATTTTTCAATTTAAAAATCTTTCAAATGAGCTCAATTTTTACTTAATATAATGATATTACCTGATAAAATGATCTTATTTAATAGTTTTGAAAACAATTGAGCAGGTATAAGGAGCAATTTGAGAGCAAAACTTTCGGAATTTGATCTATATTTCTTTCTTTCGAACCTCGGATCGTTCGTAACAACAGTAGTGTCCCAAACAGATAAGATAGATAGGATAGATAACCCTTTATTGAACCTGTGGGAAATTTTCTGTGTCTATATATGGTTAAAAACACATGAAGATATACATACAATTTAAAATGTTCTTCACTTTATGAAAGAATTTCAATATCAAGAGAAAAATAAAAACTGACGATAATTAATGTCACATTATATGTATATTTCTAACCACAATTAGGAATTTGCCACAGATTTTAAAAGTTATATAAGTATATTTGTATTTATTTTTATGTACATAGAATTTTTTAATTGGTCATTTTCTTTCCCCAGGGAAGGCAGCGAGAGCCGGGTCCCTGATGCGGGTGTGTCTGGTAGTAGTTTGTCCAGCTGTAGCTCCCCCCTGGCCGTAGAGGAAGCGGCCGACAGCAACCCGAGCCTGTGGAGTCTGGACAACATTTGCATCACGCCGCCTGTCTTCCTGCACATGATCGAGTTCTTGTGCGGGTGAGTCGGTCGCACAACGAGGGAAAACACGATAGTTTGAAATAAAAATAGATTAGTTCAGTACCCTCCCCGCCCCACTAAATTACTTTGAAATTAATCAATTTGACAAAAAGAGTAGTTCTGAAGAAATAAAAACTAGTTACAAAAAAAAAAGGAAAAAATGTGTACTCTTTTTGTTCAATTTTCTATTCGTATAAAAATTACATTAAATCAACAATCCATCTGAAATAAAAGTACGATTCTAGAAGTTTTTAGAATTGATTTCTTCACGTCTTTCATGTTGTGACTTTAGATATTTTTCTCATGGTCCCCTGGCTTGCTAATACATTTACACATTTATGGCCATATGTGATGGATGGTCATAGAATGGTTATTGTTATCAGTGGGCTCTGTGTGACTATACATATGAGACTGTGAATCATCACCTGTTCCACTGCACAGCCCTAAATGACATCAGAGCTACCCTTCTCCCTCCGAGACCTAACATTGACAACACACTCTATGGAACATTACAGCAACTGCAGCAGACCTGCACTTATCACTACATGGCATTGGACAGAAGGGCGAGAGCCCAGCTGTTGCTTTATCGATAACAACGACATCAGTGGACTCTCTTCCAACTTGACCAAATTGGAAAAAAGAGACAACAAACTCGGTGTTATGTCGCTAACATGCTGTAAACTACAACTCTGCAAATCTGTTGTAAATTCCTTCCCCCTTACAATGTGTATTTCCAGATACCTGTGGAAGACGGACGTGCCTGCGCTGATGAAGGAGTACATGTTTCAGCTGTTGGCGCAGACGTTGAGAGTTTTACACTACAGCGAGGGGTGTCAGGACAGTCGACTCACCAAACTCAGCCAGAGGCTTAGTCCCACACAGGTGAATAAATACCTCAACATTCATCGTGTAGGAGGTGGGCTGCTTCAGCCATGCTAGTCAGGGTGTTTTACACTACAAGGAGGGATCTGCAGAGGGCAGTCGACTCACCAAGCTTAGCTTAAGGTTTAGCCCCACGCAGGTGAACAAATACTAGAGTACTGAGAACAGTTTACATTGTCTAGAAGGCAGGCTGTTTTGACCTCACTAAAGTGACACCCTGCTAGTTAGGATCAGCCTCAAGTGATGAAGAAGGAGAAGGGTGATTTGCGCCCCCCCTTTGATGTGATTTAAAAGATCGTATTGGAGGCGGGCTGCTTCAAACTTTCTAGTCAGCTGAGAAGGGCCAGCTTCAGGTGAAGAAGTGAGTAAAGAGTGAACGGTTTTTTTCGTTCTTTCATTCTTTGTTTCTTCATAATTTGCTAAACCAAAAGTCTGTTCAGAACTATGTGTAAACAACTCATGTACTGTCCACAGGGCATGCTGAACTCGCTGCCCAGAGAACTGAAGAAGTTGTACGACCTGGAGGTCAAGAACTTCCCTGAGATGACCACGGCGGCTGGACACGGCCTGGGCCTGGGTGTGGCCGACAGCGGTCAGATGTCCACCTACCTGCACGCTCTCATGGAAGTGTGTCTGGCCATCTCTGAGGTGAGCTCGGCTACACGGACAAGGCTTGTGTTAGCTCTTATTTTCTGTCTTTACTCTTTTCTTTCTTTCTTTCTTTCTTTCTTTCTTTCTTTCTTTCTTTCTTTCTTTCTTTCTTTCTTTCTATCTTTCTTTCTTTCTTTCTTTCTTACTTTCTTTTTTACTTTCTTTGTCTTTCTTTCTTTCCTCCTTTCTTCTTTTTTCTCCTTTTGTTCTTTGTCTCTTCTTTTGTTTCTTCCTTTACTCGTTTCTTCCTGTTTTCTCCTTTAGTCCTTTGTCTCTTCATCTCTTTCTTTCTTTACTCTTTTCTTCCATTCTTTTCCTCCATACTTTGTTGCTTAGTCACTTTATTTCATCCTTTTTTCCTTATCATCTAATTGTCATTAATAATATTGTCATTAATAACTATCACACTGTTATTATGTAACTGTTGTTATCATAGTCATTATCATTATTATTGTTGTAGTCATAACTATAATTGTATTTTCCTTAAATGTTGGCATCATTATTACTGTTATTGATGTTGTTTTTATTATTACTATTATGAGTTTTTTAGTTTAAGGAAGTGTTTTATGGCACTTGCAATACAGTTAAGTCATATAAGTGCCGAAGGTTAAAGGTGTTTACTAGAAAGTAACATACAAAAAAAATAGGTGGAGAGATAAGAACTGTAGATGTTTGAAAGGAACGAAGAAGCAAACAACACCAGAGCTTCCGCGAACCACCCACATTATTATCATGATTATGATGATGATATATGTGTTTTGTGCAGGTGATCCCTTGTGAGATGCCGCCGAGCAAAGAGTTGCCCGACGCTGCGGTGGAGGAGGGCGCGTCAGGAAGCAGTGCGGCTGTCGTCCCAGCTGGGAGCTCTAGCGGCAAGAAGAAAAAGCTCAAGCCCAGGAAGGAACGCATGACGGCCAGTGCTAGGAGGTGGGACTTGGCAGTGTGTTGGGGGAGGAGAGGAATAAGATCAAAGGGGGGGGGGGGGGGGATATTTAGGAAAGGAAAAAATTTGTAGAAAGAAAATTAGGACAAATATTGTAAAATTTATGAATAGGGAATTAAGAAAAATAAGAATGTGTTAAAAAAAGGAAATAAGTAAGGGAAAGTATAAAAGTGTGAAAATGGAAATTAGGAGGTAAATTTGAAATATTGAAAAATAAAATTGAGTTGGCACAAACTTTTTTTTTACTATGATTGGAAAAAATGTGTATAAAGAGATATGCCTGTCCTGTGTTGTTAATTTTTTATTTTTTTTATTTCTGTGTTACACATTACTGTTTGCTAGTAGCTTGTACACAGGTGGAAGTTCAGTACATAATCTTGTCATGCTTTCTCTTCAGCTCTTTTTGAAAATGTAATTTTCTGTTCAGCTCTTTTAGAAAATGTGACTCAGAATTACTTTACGGCTTTCTCATCCTACCCCTAGGCTCATTTATATTTTTTGCAGCGAAATATTTCTGTTGTCGTACTGATATTTTATACCACATTTTGTCTTTGACAATTGAAGCTGAGAATGTTTCTGAGTGTTTCAGGGTTTGCTGAGGTAATAGTAGTTGTAAAGCACATAGAGCATGCTGTAGAATGCCTTAAAATTCGGGCTATGAAGCGCACCTCTATATAAGCCGCACCCTCTAAATTTTAAAAAATAACTTTTTCCTCAAATAAGCCGCAGCAGATATGTAATGGTACATCACATTTACTCCATGGCATCATCGTCTTGTCCGCTGAAATCTTTTTTTTTTTTCAGTGTGGGGAACACTTTTTGTGTGTTTTTGGGTTGTTTTTTTATGAAGGTGTTTCTAGGAGGCAGTTTAGATCATATAGGAGGCAGGCTTCTAACCCTGCCTGCCAGGGGCAACACAGTCTGAGAGTGATATAACATCTCAACAGATGGGGTAGTGTTTTCGCCACTATATTGTCTGAATGTTTCAATGTAAGCGGCTCTGATTTAGAATGTGAGCATTCACCTAGCCTACAAACTGCTCTTTTTGGGACAGCGACACCACCCTGCCCCCACATTGTAAACTTGTAAATTTCAATTGACTGCCATCTCCAGGGGAGCCTCAAAATGTACTCGCCCATCAGTTGGACTGTTTCGTAGGCATACTATAGTGTGGTGTTGAGGAAAATGTTTCGATTTTTTAATGTTTTAGGTGTATGCTAAGAATAGACGAGGGATTGAGGCTCCTGCAATCAGGAAAATCTATATATATGCCGCATTGTTGTTTAAGCAGCATGTTCAAACCTAAGGAAAAAAGTCGCGGTTTATAGCCCGAATTTAACGGTACTATCATATGCAAGTATTATTATTATTAAGCATTGTTTTATTAAAAAATTAAATTATAGATATCTTTGATACCTCGCCCAAACTCGCAGGTCCAGCTCTGACCAGCAGGGTAGTGGAGGTGGTAATGCCGAGACAGCTGAGACCTTTGACCCCTCAGCCATCACTAGCAGCAGCAGCAGCACCCTGCTCCCCCACAGCTCTCAAGGCGGGGCTGCTGGCTCGGTCAGTCGAGGGCCTCAAACCTCTGTCAGCTCTGGATTCTCCTCTCTCACTCCACCACCCTCCACATCCGCCTCTTCTTCTTCCTCTGCCTCCCACACTACTCCCGTGCGAGCGACCAGTGGCTCTCTGAGTCTGGGTTCGGGCACCAACCCTTCATCCTCATCTTCCTCCTCCATTCGTGTCGACAATATGTCTTGGTTTCCTGTTGCCGCATCGCTGTCGAAGATTCTGCGCTACCTGGCTCTGAAGGAGGAGCATTGTCAGTCGGAGGTTCGGGATGCAGTGAAAGCTGCCGCCCTGTCGCTGCTGTCACCCACAGCTCACACTCGACTCTTGATCATCACGGGAATCCCCACGTACCTGGACGTTTTCACAGTCAAGAAATCCATCCGTAAGGTTTGCAACAGCTACGGGGGTCTCGACCGAGACGAAATCTTCATTCCTGTGCCTGGGGATCTAAATGAGGGCTCGACGGAGGACAAAGATGGTGGCAGTGGTGGTGGTGGTGGTACCACGGCTGGGAATACAACCACTGTGGCCAGTGCTGCCACTCAGGTGACCGTTGTTCCGTCGTTGAGCGAAGATGCACCTGCGTCTTCGTCCTCATCCTACCCGTCCTCCCTGGGCTCTACATCTCCTCGAGAGGGTCAGGAAGGAAGACCTCCATCAGAGTCACACGCCGCATCTCAGTCAACACCCACTACCCCAGTCAGCCCTGCCCCCACCCTCTCCGATTCTCCGCCCACAAAAAGGAAATCCAAGCTCATCGAAGGCTACGCTGTGATCAGCCTCCCGTCCAAAACCAAAGTAGACACAGTCCGTCGAGCGTTCCTCAAAACCAAATGGCTGAATCTCAATCTGGGTGAGGAGGACGGGGATTCGAACCTGGAAGCCCCCGAGGAGAACCTCAACGTCCAGACTGTCAACCAAGCACTGCTGACAGAGCCTGAAGCCAACGGGGCACTGGAGAGTTACCTGGCGTACAAACTCTCAGGTAAATTCGGGGCCAACACCATCGGACCAGCGGGCAACCAGGCGCTGTCAGAGATCTTCTACAGCTGTTACTTTGTGGATCAGCAACAGGACTCCGGGGATATCTGTCTGGGCAGGTATGTTCACAGCTAGCTCCCTGTTTCACCGTTAGCAAATTCATGTAGTTAGATTTTATATCTTAGACATATGAATTACAAAGTTCTATCTGCTCAGGTTCTCAATGTGTCCAAAGTTTTGAGAAATTTGACGTTTAAAAAATTAGAGTTTCATAAAATGGTTAAGCTTTTTGTAAAGCAGTTTTTTTAATATCTTGATAATGACCTCTAATAATCTTACGAATTTGATAAAGCAGATACAACATTTGGTTTCTGATCTTATTGTCTTAGTTACTCATGACCAAAAAATGTGAGATAGAACTTTGTAATTCTAAGGCCACAAATTGTCCTGAATTTCCCGGGACTGTCCTGAATTTGGCATTTATGCATTTGAAAGCCTAACACTCATACAAAACACCAAAACCAGTCCCACCAGATGTAATTTTGTTTGTGGTTTCATACCTGTTATAATATTGCATGTCTCAGTTTGGGTTTTAAAAAAGTTGGCGAGCCTTTCTGAAGTAAATTCTTGTTTAGGTAAATGTGTTGCTTACTCAGCATTACTAGTGTATATACCCCACTTACTCGGCTGTATTGGCTGATATACATTTTTTTCTCAGCAAAAGGTAACATAAAATTTGGCGATTATAAAACACTTCATTCGTACTTTGCCACACGCAGAGATCAAATCCTCAACCCAGCCAGTGAGAACCTGCTGGCAGCTTTCTTCAACGCGGTCAGGCCCAGCAAAAAGCCGCTGGCTGAAGCCGTGACGTCCGCACTGCGACAGTACGGCATTCACAAGCCACAGGACAAAGACTTGTGAGTTGTCTTCCTCTCCTCCTCCTCTTCTGGGGTTTTTTTTTGTCAATTGGGGGACGGGGGGGAAGGGCTGTTTGCTGTTGTCTGCTTCTTTACTTCTTCTGATCTGTTTTTTTGTCTTTCTTGTGTGGGTTGTTGTAGGGCACCACTTATAGGTCTTACTTCTTCTCTTTCCCTGTGTTGTTGCTGTCTGTCTTTCTTGCTTTTTCCTATCACTGAATGTCTTTGGAGTGTGGATGTGCCTTTCTTTACTCAGACTCAAATAAAAACAATATCAGTCAGCTATTGAGTTGTACTAAGCCCAAAATTTATATATTTAAAAAAGATTGCAGTTTCTTAATCTATTGTACCGGTTGCATGGTGTTCAAGAACTATTTTGTCAAAATTCAGTTTGTAAATGTTGAAAAAAGCAAGGAAAGATAAGTAATGTAGGTATAAAAAAAGATTGAAACTCTTTTCTCGCGACTGAAAAATGTTGCTTTATCGGCTTTGAAAATTTGAACAGCTTTCAGACAATACAGATAGTGAAACGTGGCAGTTTGATCATTATTGTGTGGATGTTCTTTTCTTTACTCAAACTTGCTAAAAAATGCTGCTTTTCAAGCTGACTGTATATTTGTGTTATCTCCAGGTCGCCTCTGTCCTCCGAGAAGGGCAGCAAAGGAAAAAGTACCAAGAAACCAGCGTCCAAGTCCCACAAAGAGAAACAAGCTCTAACCATGGTGGAGAAGGGACAGATGGAGAAGTAAGGGAAATTTTCTCTGTGTGTGTGTCTATTTTTTTGTTTATGAGGGTGTTTTTATGACAATTTAAATATTTAGGAGGCAGGTTTCCTACCCTGCCAGTGAGGGCCAACCGGCTCTGAGAGGGATATAGCATCTCAACAGATAAAACAGAGATACTTGATAAAAACTTCTTCCCTCTCGGGAATCAAACGTGAGGCTCCTGCTCATTACAATGAAGTGCCTAACCACTTCACCACTGATGCCAGTACGTTATTTGTGTTTTCCAACAATATAACTTGTTGTCTCTTAAAGAATCACGGAGAAGTAGGGAACTTTAGCTTTGAGATGGATGTTTATTTGATTATCTCACTTGTTGCTTTCTCTCTCTCTGAGATGGATTTTTTATTTGTAAATCCTACCTTTTTTCTGAAATAATATTTATTTGCCACATTGCAGTGATTCTCAAATTTTTTTGTGTTTTGGGATTTTTAGTTTTTTTTGTTAGTTTTTTTTGTTGATGATCCCTTCCTACCGAGTCCTATTTTAGATTGTTTGTGTTAGATCCTTTTTACTACATTGCGTCATAATGTACATTTATTTGAAATTATACCGTACTGCATTATGTCTAAGGAATGTTTAGTTGTAAAATCCCCTATCATGTAAAAAGTGAATGCTTATTTGTAATTCCTCTTTACTGCATCCTATCTGAGATGAATGTTTATTTGTAAAATCCCTATTGTTGCTATATCCTGTCAATAAAGGATTTGTATTTTTCACCCATTTATTGTTACAAGGGTAGTAAAACTCAAACAAACAAACACAGTCAATGAAACATCTCTTTTCTCCAGGTCGCAGTCAGCAGACAAGGAGAAGAAAGAAGAGAGGAAGGATGAGAGTGAGAAGAAAGGAGGGAAGGAAGGAGCCACTGCGGATGTGTCCCCGAAGGAGTCTAAGGTGAGACAGACAAAAAGCACATTTTTTTTCTTCAAATGCTACAGGTGATACAGACATGGTTTGCCACTCATTTCTCTGCTCAGATGCTCTCAGAAAAGTTGTTATCCTGGTATTTCCTCATCAAACGTCTGTTCAAGTTTTTTTAGTAAGTTATTCTTTTCTACCTCTGCCCCTTTGGCTGTGTATTTTTCTAGTGAGAGTAAGATGTTCATGACATAATATATGTCAATGATTCAAGTACCTTATTTTTAAAATATAGATAACCGTTTTTACAACCATGAATTTCCAACTTAAACCCAAAAGTACAACCAAGCCGTTCTGTGACCAACTTGTGTCTTATGGGCTCATATGATCTTATTTAGTTGTGAAAATCGTAAAACTCTTACCAAACTAAGTCAAGTATCCTGGGAACTGACATTCCATATATGGTTAGAGTTAACTCTTCAAAGATCAGCCAACTTTCTGTTGCTAGTTTAGTTTGAGTAAAGAGGAGCACGTTAACACAATAGTGGTCCTTTAGTGCTGGAAAAACTGAAAGATAAACAGGCAGAAATGATAGAGGGGAAGGACAAGAAGGACCAACCAATGGCGCTCTCCATACAAGCCCCCCCCCCCCCCCGCCCCCGCCCCACTATTAGACGGTTCAGAACTATGACTACTACTTAGACTTTCTCAAACTGAAAGCGTACCTATCCCTTGGACCAGAATCGTTTTTAACTTTAACCACATGTCATCCCCAGAGTGTGTCCAAGTGTGAGAGTCGTCAGCTGACTTTGGACAGTTTCATCCTGTACTGTGAGGATCTGGCCCGGCAGGACCTCCGGGCGTTGTGGAAGGGACTCTTTGCCTGTGGCCTTGACCTACACCTCGAGAGGTCGGTAGATAATCAAGTCACACCTTCCCACCCAAAAGTTACCCTTTTTTACCCTGAAATATCTGAAAACAATTGAAATTGTCCTTGATGGCCACCCATTGTCAAGTGGATGTCTTGGACAATTTCATGATGATGAAAAAATGCAAAATTGTAACATTGTTTGCCTCCTTTTTGTTGACATGATATTTTTATCAGGAGGAAAGATATTTGAAGCGGACAATGTCTTAAAAGGAATTTTTCCAGGTCTAGATGTTTTTCAAGATTTTCATAGTGCTTTGATGTTTATTATAACTTTGGATGAGCAAATTCTATCACTAGTATCCTAAAACATTTGGAATTTGTTTTGTTAATTTTTGTGACTTTTATTGTACAATTCTATCGCTAGACATTGTCTAACATTTGAAAATGTTGTTTTGTTATTTTCTATAACCTTCTCCTTGTTCTTATATTTTATTATAACTTTGGATGCACAAATCCTATCGATACTATCCTAAAACATTTTAAACAAATTTCTGTGTTTTTTATCATTTTGGATGTACAAATTCTATCCCCAGTATCCCAAAAAATTTATATATTAATTTTGTTTTATTATTTTCAACGACCTTCTCTTTGTGCCTCTTCTTTCACACCCCCCTTCAGATGCATGTGCCCGGACACAACAGCCATGCTGGCGATGATGGGTGAGTGGACGCTGGAGAAAGACGCGGCCTTGGTCCACTACGTCAACGAGATGTGTTGTCAGCTGGCTGTCTCCTCCTCACGTCTTCACGCACACGAGATCAGACTGTCAGAGGCACAGCTAACAAATGACAAGTTCTCCTGTCTCCAAGGTGCGGGTTTGTGTGTGGAGGGCTCAGTCTTACACTTGTGTAACAAAGAATAGTGGTGGAGGGGAGGGGGGGTAGTACTATTTATGATGTGTATCGTATGTTATTTGCTTTCGGAATAATTAAAGGTGAAGTTTGCATTTTTTTAAAATTATTTTTTTTAATAGTTGTTTTCTTTGGGGGGGGTTTTTGTATTCTTTTATATGTTTTCTTCCTTTTTTTTAAACGTCTTTTTCTTTAAGTTTTTTTTCTTTCTTTTTTCATTTAAAGGTATTATTTCTAATTTTTTGTGAAACGTCTTTTTTTTTCTCTTCTAAATGGTCTAATTTGTATCAGTGAAGTGGTGAAACATTACCAATGATCGTGTGTGTGTGTCCCAGGTCTGCCTCTGGAAAGCGTGCGGCTGAGGTTTGCCTTCCTGCAGAACTTGAACAACTCACTGGAGACGTTCTTCCTGCCGCTGATTGACCTCCGACCCTGTGGGGTGTACAGTCGCAGCACCGCCCTTGTCATGTCACAGCTCAGGTCACTCATCTTCTACGACACAAAGGTATGGGGTGTGTGCTTTGCAGGGAGAAAGGGAAAGGGGAGGAAGAGAGAGAGGTAGGGAAGGACAAGAGTTGGGAGGGAGAGAGTCCTACTTCTGTACTTCTTTACTTTTCTGTGTTGTTTCTGAAAATTCATGTAAAGTTTCTTTCCCAAGGATGTGACAAAGTATCTAGCTGAGCATTGAACCCTCAACCTGCAACGTCACCATTACGAGTACAATAGCATGACTACAGACACCACTGAATTAATGATCTGAACTTAAAATTATGTCGATGAGGGCATAAAATGTGTACTGTTACAAAAACATCCCCAGGTGAACTTCTTCAACCGCATTCTGAACGCCACAGCCAAGAGAAAGCCGGACCAGGCAGCCCCAGAAATCACTCTCAACCCCCTGGAGAGTATTGGCACAGGTCAGTGACCTATATGTGATTTGACGGGTGGTTGGCAAGGGCTCTGTCAGTGACCTGCGTGTGATTCGACGAGTATCTGGCAGGCATTCTATGGGGCTGTTTCTTCTACTTTTACTTTGGCATGAAGGAAGGAGGGGGAGATTCTCTACGGGTGGTTGCCAGATGCTGTATGGGGACCGGGGGAGGGGCTGTTTTTTTATACCTCTTTTTTTAGCAGGATTAAGACAGCGTGCCTCCTTAATGATTTAAATCACGTTGATGGGGGAGTAAACAATTACATTGAGTCTATAGTGAACTTAAGCTGTGCTACTTTTCAGTACTAAATTAATCTTAATGAGTCTTGATTGAACATGATTTAGAAATTGATGAACCTTGCCTCTGGTTGGAAGATGCCACTGCTAGGTCATACTTTTTTTCTTTTCCTCTGTTGTCTCTGTCTTTTTGGTGTGGTATAAGGCTACCATTGTTAGGTTCTAGTATTTTCTTTCCCTCAGTTGTTTCTCTCTATCTGACTTACTTTTCCCCTACCCTAAATGGCTATTATTGTGTCAGTGCACTTCTCTTTACTCAAGCAAACAAGGATGCAAAAATTGGAATTTGTATGTCAATGTGTATCTCGACATAAGTGTACTAGGTTTGCCACAGCTATGTCCTATTTTTTTTACTTTCCCTCTGTTTTTCTATGTCCTATGTCTTTACTCTCCCTTTGTTCTTTTTGACTATCTTGCTTTTTCGTAGCAATAAATAATTGTTGTCAGGTGTATGTGCTTTTTTTTACTTCACTCTGATGTAGTTCTGACATGGATTTTGTTCCCTTTGTTTGTTGGCCAGGTGACAAAAGCTGCCAGGCAAGCATCCTGTGCCAGTCGTACCGCCAGTTAGCGTCCATCAGTTCCCGCAAGCTGTGTGTGCGTCTAGCCAGTGGGGGAGACCCCACCTACTCCTTCAACGTGCGCATGACGGGGGAGGAAGTCCATGGAACCAGTGAGTGATTTGTGGCTGAAGGGATGGGGAGGTCAGGAAATATTGAGTAGTCCAGACCTTACTCCCCAGTGACTAGTCCTGTCTAAATTTAAGGGGGGAGGGGGGGAGATGGTATGGTATGTATAGCCGTATTGTTGTAAAGTTTAACTGCCAACCTGTATGTAATTAACGTATTTCATAGTTTTTCAAGATCTGAGTACAGAAGTATGTTTTTTTATTGGAGAATACATATTCTCTGTTTTCTAGTATTGCTCCTCACAGACTTGCCAATTCGAAAGAGAAATTATGAACTTTCAAGATGATGCGATTTGTGAATAAAATAACAAGAATGAAGCCGGTAGGTCAATATATTTGTGTCCATTAACTTACTTAGCTATTGAGCATGGATTTATTAAATGCAGAAAAATATGCGTGAAGAGTTTGGAGGGGAGTTACTTTGCCAATATCTTCCATCTTGATCGTCCCCTTTGGGTAGTCTGGTTTGTTTTTTGCTTTTTTAAAAAGTTGGCATCAATGTTGTAAATCATATTCCATTCATTATGACATAAATGCTGGATTGACTAATGGTTGTCATGTCAATGTCTTTCTCTTTATCCAGTGGACTAGTTGTAGAGTACTCTACTTTTGCAGGATTTCTAGGAATATTGGGTAGCCCGGACCTCTGTCCCCAGTGAGTCATTGTTCTAAATTGGTGTTAATAGGGATGTAAAACATTCCAGTGCCAATGTGTGGGTGACTGGCGGGTGCTCTTATGTGATGTGCTCCTTCTTCACTCTCAAAAATCTTTTGTCCTTACCTCTCCTTCTTTCTTTGTTTGTTTGTTTGTTTGTTACTTTCTTGTAACACCTCTAATTTTGGGCACTTCTTCGACCTATTTGTGTTGCAAGTGCTGTAAAACTTGTCACTAAAACTCAAATGACGAAATTCTCTCCACCCCCACCTCCAGGCGGTTCATTCCGTCACTACCTGTGGCAGGTGTCCCGAGAGCTCCAGTCTCCCCTCATGTCTCTGTTCCTGGCTTGTCCCAGCTCGGCCGCCGGGCTCAACAAGGGTCGGCTCATCCTCAAACCAGGGAAGATGACCTACTCGGAGGAAAATCTGCTCATCTTTGTCGGACAGGTAATGATGATGATAATATATGTGAGGCATAGTAGTGAGATAAGGCGCTCGTCAAAATACTGAAATCCAAGAAATCAGCATTTTTTGGCCAACTGGCATTTTTTTTCTAATTTTCTTTTTTGGATCAGCACCTTTTATGTCCTTTTACTTTACTTTTCCGATCCAGTGGCCGTTCGGGTTCTAGCCCTTCGGTCTGTCGATATGGCAAAGAATTTTGTGTCCTTTTAAAGACACATTTATGTTTGGATTTTCTGAAAAACAGTGATTAAAGGCATAAAAATATAAATTTGCAGTTTCCAAAAACTCTCAGGCTATGGAAGTTATTAAACTTTTGAGGCCAGTTTCTCACTAATTTTATCTCTGAATCTAGGCGACTCTGACCTCTTTCAATCGCAAAGATTTCAACTTTTATACAACACAGATAGATTTTTTTTTTCTCCGAAAGGAAGGCAAATGAACAGGCTTTACGATGACACAAATAACCCCATATTCCCAAAAATTGACGAGCGCCTGATTCCACCACGTCCTGACAGATATGACCTTTATGTAGCGCTCAACCCTGATCAAACAACACAGGTACTGACTGCTCTACAAAGACGACAGCGACACATAAGTTGTGTTCTGCCTTAAAATCTCTGTAAATATCTTATTATTCTAAGAATAGAAATGACCGTTGCTGACAGGTCTATCAGTTTTGATTTTCTTAATTTTGTGGGGAGTAGGAGTGGGTATCTGATTGGTCTTTCTTATATTTAGTCCTACCGTCAAACCAACAAAATGACCTACCACAAGGAGAATTTGCTCATCTTTGTGGAACAGGTTGGCCAGTTTTGTTGAATTTTGAGTGGGGGGGGGGGGGTGGACATGAGGGTGTATCGAAGGAGTCCTACTTTTTTAAAATATCATTGCCGAGAACTTATTTAGCTTTTTCAGACAGGCTGGTCAGCTTTGTTTCTGAGAACTTAGTGGGGAGTTGGCAGGCACCACTGGTAGGTTCTACTTTTTTTCTTTTCCTTTGTTTTTGTCTTTTTCCCAGCACTGAATGACTGCTCAGCAGATGTGTTTCTCCTCCCTCAAACTTTGACAATATTTTAAAATAATATGAGTCAAATGTCCATACTTATTCTTTTCTTCTTTGCTTCCCATCTTCCTGTTGGAGGTGGGTGGTTGGCAGGTGCTGTGGTGTGGTTTACCCCTTCTTTCCTATCAAACATATGTCATTCTTATCTCTCCACCTAATTTTCTTTGTATGTTACTCTTTAGTAACACCTGTAATCTTCAGCCCTTATATGACTTATTTGTGTTGCAAGTGCTGTAAAACTCTTACATAAACTACTGACATTGATACTTGTTTTCCTCCAGTTGCTGGGCATCACGATCCGCGCTGACATACCCCTTGGCCTTGACCTTCTATCCACCGTGTGGAAACTGTTGGTGGGTTTGACCCTTGACCCCGGGCAAGATCTCCTACAAGCTGATGCTCTCACATACAGATACCTAAAGAGGATTGAGATGGTGAGTGGGGGAATGAGGTGGGAAG